CTCTGTATAATTCTGTCCGGTACGTCTCCTCCTGCTGCCAACGTGGTGGCGGCCCCGATTCTCAACGAATGCAGGCCAACCTGTTTCGGGTCGCCACCTGCCTTCTCCACAATCTGGCGAAGGGCGCTAAGAGCTTTGGAATATCCCCAAACCTTAATCGTCTTGCTTCTCCTACAGCGAAACGAACACAGAGGAGCGTCCTCAGGTAACGCGAGATGGCACGCCATCAACTCCACCAACACCGCCACGGCACCGCCACCGGCTCCAATCTGAGAACTCGCGCCTCGTGCTACTTCGCGCACTCGTGTAACGTACGCCCCCTTCTCCGACTGATCCCCCTTGTGGCCGCGAAACCGAACCCGAACTCCTGTGGCCTTGTGCCAGTGCAACGGGGCGAGCACGTCCTCCCCATGAAAGAATTCGACGTCGCTATGCCGCAAACAATGCACCTGGTGGCATTGCCCCGACAGTGTGGCAAAAACCTCATCCGAACGCGCCACCAGGAAGTACGACAACGCCAAACACAGCCACAACACGCGGCCACCTGTACCCCATGACGCCGTCAACTGCTGTCCTTCCAACAGCGTCTCCCATGAGACGGGAACCCGACTCCGACTCGTTGTACCCGCGCGAACGTGAACACGTGCGACACCCAACAAACTCCGCTTGATAAGAGGCGCACCGGCGGGCAACTCACGCTGCTTGTCAACTCGATGAAAGTACTGCACCGCGGCGAGCTTGCCGGATATGGTTGTTGCAACATTACCCTTATCTGCACAACACCACGCCACAAACTCCAAGAGTGCTTGTTCCAGCCCAGCCCCATCCGCGTCCCTCGAGAGGTACTCCGACTCGCCAATCATGCGGCGAAAAGCACACCAAGCCCGCCAACCCGACAGGTAAGTTCTTCGAGACGACTGCGCAACTGACTCGCGGACGTACTCTCCGCTAAGACGCCTGTACAAAGATCGGCAACCGCCGGGCTCAAGACCTCGGGTCAACGCAGTAGCCGCCCCTGGTCGTATGAGGTGTGTGCTCGGACCCGAGACCACACCCCCCGCGACATCGAAAGACGGCCCTCCCCCCCCCGGGGGGCAGGGCCCGCGCCCCTATTCCTCATCGCCGTCCTCCGCGCCGCCGCCGGCACCGCCCTTCGCACTGCTGCGAGTCTTCGTCCCGGCCGTTCCCACCTTGGCCCGCTTCGCTGGGGCGGCGGCGGCAGGAGCGTTGGTGTCCGCGACGGTGGAGGGGCTACCTTTGGAGCCACCATCCTCGGCCCCGCCGCCAGTCATGCCCCCCCGTTTTCCTCCCTTTTCGCCGGCCTTCCGCGGCGCCACATGCGCGAACTTGCAGTCTTTCCCCCACTGACATGTACCGTGTTTCTGGAACTGGTAGCACGGCCCCGGGTCCCTGGCCCTGCTGCCCTTCCCCCCGGCACCCGCTGCGGCGGCTGATGAACGGCCCTTGCCTTGCACAGCAGAACTGATCAGCCCGCCCGACCGGAGATACGCCGCCAGGTTTGGGAAAACCGGGAGGGGGGGGGGGGGGAGGGCGTCCGATGGCGGAGGGAGAACGAAGCGCCGCTGCATCTCGTCCGCGAACATCTGTACTTCGCGCGTGTAAATGTCCATGTCCTTGACGATGAAAGTCAAAAAGATGTCGCGGTTGTGCGGTACTTGGATGGCCGCGTAATTCTCCCGAGTGTGCCGCTCCACGTCGGCGATGGCCGCCTGGAACGAGGCTTCGACACGATCCACCTGCGCTCTCGATGCCGCCGCCAACCTCGGTTCGTCGACGATCCCCCGGCGGGCGATGGTGATGAAGGCCTCCGCCATGAGGGCCAAATGCGTTGCGATGGGGATACGTTCACCACCCGCCCCCCGGGGCGCGAATGCAGCAGGGTCAAAGCCACGGAAGTTCAAGAGCATGTCGGCCACCTCGTCCGTGACCTCAAAACTATCATGCATTAACCCTTGCAAGCTCGGCTTCTCTAACTTCGGCGGAAAACATCCCATCACCACCCACCACATGCGGCTGTTCACCGCGCTCCAAGCGTTCACCCGCTGGTCCGAAATCACCTTTTCCATCCGCCGCTGGGCGTGCGACATCCCCGTGCCCATCCCGTATCCCCCGGAGTCGACGTTAAGGCCTCCCGCTCCAAACGGGGACGAAATCGCGGGAGTGAAGCCTAAGCCGCCC